TGCCCAGCCCATTTTAAGTTATTGTAATACTCTAGTCCTAAATGAAAATCACCCGTTATCCCTTTGGAGAAAGTTTTCATGAATGGGCTTGACATGGCAGACTGATTTCTCTGATTCAGTCAATGCCTTCTGTTCCCATTTCTACGAAGAAATTTTGGTTTCAAAACAGAAATGGCTTTTAACAGCTTCTTACTAATGGTGCCATCTAGGGAAAAGTCAGTCATTCAATACAATAAAAATTCCTTCAGGGGCAGTAGAAGGTATGCAGGTGACACCTCGGCACCCTGCCTGGACCTGCTCTCAGGCAGTGGGGATGGTCGCTGGGTTTTGCACTCTCATCCTTCAGTGTTCTAGACAGATACTCTTCAGCAATGCACATTTAAATTTTTGATACATCAATAGGAAAAAAAATATTTAAAAATATTTAATAATAAGGAAGGCTTCTGAGAGGCAAGTTCACATGAGGTGACATGGTATGTATTTACTGTGCTATTATTGATCACTTGGAAAGTCGGAGGTAACAGCACGAGAGCAGTTAACTCAGGCTCCACGGGCACCTTCAGTTCTCCTTCCATCTGTGACTGTGTTAGGCTCTCTGCCCCTCCTTCCCTTGTTACCTGTGTAGAGATATTCAGGTTGGTAAGCTGGCTGAACGGTTAGTGTCTTAGCTTCACCCATCTCTCGAGTCTGCAGAAGCACGGAAGCAATGGAATGAAAATTGCTGTTGCAGGACAGGGCAATCAAGAGGTGAAGAAGCAATTTTTTGCTGTGTTCAAAGACTTCAGGCCGGTAGTGGTCCAAACCTGGAACAGAACGGTGGAATTTCTCAGTATAAACAAACGTTAAGCTCCTTTAGATTCCAGGGATAGTAAAGATTCCAAGATACCCAGGAGGAACATGTGAAAAGAATGTTTAGTTTTCCTTGTTACTGTTTGTGTTACCAACATAAAGAATTTGGGCTCAGGAAAAATAAAATGCTTTATTTCTTAAATAAAATATTCTCATAAAATGCTGATAAATGGACTTCTCTTGACCTCTCGGTGGTGACATGTGACATGGTTAGCATTCCTCCCCTTCTTGAGATGTTCTCTTCCCTAGACATCCCTGTTACTGAAGGGTTCTAATTTTATTTATCTGTAAATGAACTTCTCAGTCTCCCTGGTTGTTTCCCCTCTCCACTGTTTGCTCTACCAAGGTCAGTGCTTGGCCCACTCTGTTCTGTATTCTTTCGATTTATGTCTCAACCATGTCTCATATCTTTCAATTTATCACCTTAGCTGAAGACCTTCAAAAAGGTCCAACTTACTTTGGATATCTTTATAGACATGGCATTGGTGAGGTGACACTGTATATTATAGAAATGCGACAATTTCAAATAACGACTAATCAACTGAAATTTGAGAGCAGATGTCATGAAAGGCTAATAAAAAAGAGAGAAGACCAAATATTTCAGAAATGAGGCAAGCAGGATTTCCATGTAAAAGGAAATCTCTATGGATTACTTCTGCATATTTTTATCCCTATTGTTGGAATTCTTCTTAGATCCAGCCTTACCTAGGAAGACAGCATGAAGCAATAATGGCAGATGAAGTGCCCAATCTTCTCTCACACTGTGATCAACCACCATCTCGGTCATAAAAATTACAGCAATATTGCACCTAATCAAAGAAATGATGAAATTAATGCAAATTCAGAAGAGGATGGAAGTATACTGATAGATCATTAAATTATAATTAAACACAACTCTTAAATCTTTTTGACGAATTATGTAAGACTCTTAATTCCAGGGAAATACAGGATGTCCCAAAGGTCACCCATAAGGTCACCAAAAGAAGAGAAAAGGTTGCCTTGGTGCCTGTAGCTCAAGTGGCTAAGGTGCCAGCCACATACACCAGACCTGGTGGGTTCAAATTCAGTCTGGGCCTGCCAAACAACAATGACCACCACAACAAAAAATAGCCAGGCATTGTGGTGGGCACCTGTAGTCCCAGCTACTTGGGAGGCTGAGGCAAGAGAATCATTTAAGCCGGGAGTTGGAGGTTGCTGTGAGCTGTGATGCTATAGCTCTCTACCCAGGACAACAGCTTGAGCAGCTTGAGGCTCTG